TGGGGGATCCAACCCCTCTTTCCTGGCTTGGTGAGACTAAGGTGACAAAAACCAACATTCTGCTCCCCCCGAACCTTTTAGATGCTGGGGTGTGGCTACTGGAGGGCCTTGGGAGGTGTCTCCAAGGGAGAGGGGCTGTGATGGCCTTTGGATCTGCACTCTTCAGGGGAACTTGGCCCTTTATGTTTGAGGGGTATCCCTAATGGGCTTGCAGTGGTGGGAGGCAGAGGGTCAGGCACATGGGTGCTCTGATGGGGATGGTGTGAATGTGGCGACACGAAAGCATAAGGAACCAGGGCAAGAGCAGCAGACCGGTCCCGCTCTGCTCTCTTGTTCGTCCCGTAACCTGTCATCATCACATCCCCTTCCAGGGACCTGGGCATTTGTTGTCTGTTGAGTGGAGGTGCTCTCCAACCGGCATCACACGCAGCAAGAGGCCACCTCTCGGGACAGGGGCCTCCAGGCAGCCGTGTGGACCCAGGGACAGTCATTCAAAGGGACACCTGCCATCCTCGGGGATGGGGCCGCAAATCGGTATCTCTGCCCTTCCCTCAGGAAGGGGACGACAGGGTAGGAACAAGCCCCTTCACAGACAGGAGCACATCAGCAAAGCCCACGAAAGCGGGATTTTCTAACAAAATAAACGTGCTTGTTTGCTCTGTTTTCTGTACCTTTTGCTAAATACTTTATACATTTTTAATGTTAAAAAGCTGTGTCTCCTCCAGCATTCCTCATCCCGGTATGAATGTGTTTATTCCACGTTGTATATCCTTCCATCCCCTGGCTGCCTAGATCAGTAAATAAAGTTGATGTACTATAATTTATAAGTAACACTGTTGAAACTCTGATCCCTATGGAGGCTGTAATCTGCCCTTCCCACACCATGCCCGTAATAGCATTTGTGTGTATTAATGCTGAAAAATTAAATGTTTAAATTTTGAAGGCGTTTGCTATATATAATTGTTCTGCATTATTATAAAGCATTTTTAGGAAGTTAATTGCTCTCATTTTTTTCCCCCTTCGGCTCTGTGTGTACACTTGAGATGCTTAGATTTCATCCTGTGTAAAATAAACTATCCAGAGACACCGTGTCGTCCCACTGGGTGACCCTCTTTCCTGGAGGGCTCCCACCCTCTTTGTACAAATGGACTCAGTGTCCCTCCCGAGCTGGGTGATCATTTTACCCCCAATTACTTAGCAGAGGGACCACAGCCCTGGCCCCAGTCCCCTTCCCTGGAGACTTCTGTCCCTGTGAACACAAGGGGCTCCTGGCTATTAGTTCCTTTCTCCACCCATGCATCCCATGCACTCATCCATGCAATAATTAGTGAACACCACTGTATGCCAGGGTCTTTCCAGGTGGTGTTAGTGGTAAAGAACCCACCTGCGAAATGCAGGAAACTTAATATGAGATACAAGTTTGATCCCTAGGTTGGGAAGCTCCCTTGGAGAAGAGCATGGCAACCCACTCCAGTGTTCTTGCCTGGAGAATCCCATGGACAGAGGAGCCTGGTGGGCTACAGTCTATAGGGTCACAAAGAGTCAGACACAGCTGAAACGACTTAGCACACATGCACAGAACGCCAAATATTGCTCTCAGTACTGGAAGCACATTGGTGATGGAAACAGATCAAGAATCTTGACCTCACAGAACTTATTTTCCAGCAGAAAGAGACAGGCTAACAAAATGATATACAGAGTGTATGCAGAAAATGATAGGTGTTATGACAAGAGGGCAGGGGGAGGAGGAGGTGGGTAAGTAGCAACATGAAATAAGGTGATTGGAGTGGCCTCATTGAGAAGGTGGCATTTGACCAAAGTCAAGGACACCTCGGAGGGAGCCCGGCAGGTAGCTGGGGGGGAGGATATTCCAGGCAGAGGAGGTGGCCCTATTAAAGGCTAGAGGCACCTCACTGAGGCCAGTTGGCTTGAGCAGACATGGTGATGGGGAGGGGGCAGCTTCTGCAGAGCTTTGCAGGCTTTGGAAAGCCTGTGATTTTGCTCTGGGGGCCGTCCAAGCTGAGGGTACACAGCCCGATTTCCTTGCTGAGGAGCTCACTGTAGGAACAGGGGAGCAAGGCAGCCAGAACGCAGGGACAGGGGACGCTGCCTGCAGGGGTGGCCACGTGGAGGTGGGAAGAACGGTCAGATTCTGGAAGTGCTTTGAAAGCGGAACCAACACGATTTCTAGCCAGTTTGGAGTGGGGGTGTGATAGAAAAAGGGGCACAGGGGATGACTCCAAGGATTCTGGTCCAGGCAAGCAAAAGGACAGATTGCTATTTACTGTGATGGGGACAGCCATAGGAGAGGCGTTCCTTCCATTCTCTGCCTCCCACTCACGCTCTCTGAGCCCTCTTTCCCCTCTGCTTCCAGACCGGGGTCAAAGGGTTCGCTTCTCTTTCTGCTCACAGCAAGGGAAGGTGGGGGAGGGTGGCAGGGGCCCCAGGGCTCCCAGCTTAGGGAGAGGATGGGGCCAGCCTCTGGGAAGAGTCTTTGTCTTTCAGTCAAGGCCAGGCTGGGAGGGGGAGACACAAACAGATTCACTGGCCAGAGACGAGGGCTTCTCCCCAAGTGGTCTTTGGAGCTCGGGGAGAGTTTATGGCCCAGCTCAGACTTAACAAATCCCCTCACAATACATCATCTCCAACAACTTGTTTGGCTAAGGAACATAAACTCTCCCTCTGATAGAAGATGTTTATGCAGGTTTTCAAACAAACCTCCAGGTCATGACCCCCTCTCTCAGCAGCATCTACACAGCTGCCTATGGTCCCCTCCCAGGGTCGGGCCCTTCCTGGGCACAGCAACCTGAAGAGTGTGGGCAGCACCTGCTCCTTGCTCTTGAGAGGAGCAGAGGGACTGGGGGCTCTGGCTGCCTTCTGTGTTAACCCGGGGGTCCTGTCTTCCGGCCCATAGCCTCTTTGTTGTCATGGCAACCCAGCTCCTCACCTTCAGAACACAGCTCCTTGCCCACTCTGCTCACTCCTTGAGAACGAGAGCTTGGTTTCTTCCTGTGACATTGGCCTTGTCTTACCTGCAAGCTCAGTGCGGACACCCAGGAAGCACTTCTAATCACCTCGCGCACCAGGTTCAGAGGCAAGGGTGGAGGCGTCTGACTTCATTTTCATGGCTTGGGTTTTGTTTGTTTGATGACTGTCCTGTTTCTAACTGCTCTTGAGAACAAATCCCTTGCTGCGGGCTAGTGAAAGCCTAGAAAAGGAGAAACAGCTCCTTTTAAGAAAGAATATGCTATCACAAACTGATGGAAAAAATAGTAAGTATACAGACACACACACACGTGACATTAAGGCCTTCTGAGAAGCACTCTGGATCCGCAGTGGGTGGGGCGACCAGGAGGAATGGGTCAGCACATCTGAACCTGAACTTCTGGGTCCTTCCTGCATAATATTAGCGGGGGCTGGCGGGTGTCTTCCCCCCAGCAGCACGGACCTGTCATTAGCCTCTTATGAAATAGGATACAAACCCCAAGTCACTCGCCTACACACTGTGTGCTTTATTCTTTGTAGTTACCATGTGTGCGTGCTAAGTTGCTTCAGTCGTGTCTGACTCTGTGTGGCCCTATGGACTGTGGCCGGCCAGGTTCCTCTGTCCATGAGATGCTCCAGGCAAGAGTACTGGAGTGGGTGGCCCTTTCTTCCTTCGGGGGATCTTCTCGACCCAGGGATCCAACCCACATCTGTGGCTCCTGCTTTGGCAGGTGGGTTCTTTACCACTAGCGCCCCCTACAAAGCCCTTTGTCTAATGGAGGCAGCCCCTGCCACATGTGACACAGGCCTAACCACTCCCTTATTGCCTTCCTAATTCCCTGGCTTCACTCAAACATTCCACATGCTAGCCCCTGTATGCAGTGCAGTTCTTGAACCCTGTCATAGAAGAATATTGATAAAAGGTAACATGTGTTTGGGGCTTCCCTGATAGCTCAGTTGGTAAAGATTCCAACCACAATGTGGGAGACCTGGGTTCGATCCCTGGGTTGGGAAGATCCTCTGGAGAAGGGAAAGGCTACCCGCTCCAGTATTCTGGACTGGAGAATTCCATGGACAGTCCATGGGGTCTCAAAGAGTCACACATGACTGAGCAACTTTCACTATTCAGTTTCTTTCTTTTTTTTTTTTTAAACAGCAAAAACAGTTCTTTTACTGGTGCCAGAGCAGGTGAAGGTTATTACTGCAGGAATCACTCCAGTCGAGGAAACTTCCTACACAAGCATCCATTTTTACCGAACCAGATAATTTGGAGATGGCTGCTGTATTCTAAGAGTACGACACACAAATTCATCTTTTATATAGCAAACATTTCTAATGACTTTTCTGTTTTGTTTTTTTTCCATTTATTTTTATTAGTTGGGGGCTAATTACTTTACACACTATTCAGTTTCAACATGTGTTCAGCTCTTACTACTGCCAGGCTCTATTGTAAATGCATTGCACATATTAACTCATTTGAGGCTTACAATAACAGTGAGGGAGATGCTATTATAATGCCCGTTTAGTCAAGGAATAGTCACTGAGGACCCAAAGCTGGAAGGTACCCTTCATGCAAAAGAAATGCAGTGGGGAGCAAAACAGACAGAATCCCTGCCTTCAGGGTGCTTTCATTCTGACGCCATCCCAGGCAGCATGTGGAATAAATAAACACTAAGTCAGAAGGTGTACTCGAGAGGGAGACCAAGCACGCAGGATAAACAGTTGGGGCTTGCTGGTGCTTGGGGTGGGGGTGCTGCTGTTACTGAGAAGGCGACATTTAAGGAAAGCCATGACGGAGGTGAAAGATTAGGAGAGAACTCTAGGCAGAGACAGATTAAGAAGCATGCCTGAAGCTGCCGTCTAGCTCAGGGAGCTCAGCTCAGTGATGACCTAGAGGGGTGGGACGGGAGAGGGTGGTGGAGGGAGGTTTGAGAGGGAGGGGATGTATGTATACTTATAGACACACGCTACTGTACAGAAGAAACTAACACAGCATTGTAAATCAATTATACTCCAATGTTTTTTTCTTTTAATGAAAGACCCTCTGGTGCAGAGGGTCACACAGCTAGTAAATTGCAAAGCTGAGGTTTGAACCCGTACTGGTTCCAGAGCCTGACTCCTCACCCAGAATTACAGGACCACCCCTGCTGCGGAGACTCTCAGAGTTAGGGCAACGGAAGGCAGGCAGGGAGCATCCTTGCTCTTAAAGAGCTAGAGCTGGCAGTGGGGGGTGGGGGGTAGGGATGGCCCAGCGGGTGAGGCTTCAGGTCCCAAGACTCTGATCTACTGTCCCGTCCTCCCAGAAGGCCAAGATGAATTGACCTCCTGCTGTCAGCTCTTTATTTTAATCTCGGGGGGCTTCTGGGAGCTCGCCTCCCTCCCCCAACCCCAAGCTTCAGGCGCCTCCTCCCTCCAAGTCCTGGGATGAACCAGCCACAAATCCTCCTAATCCGTCAGCATCTCAGGGTGTGACTGTCTCCTGCGGCAAACCCAGCCCGGCAGCCAGGAGACCCCATTGCTCCCACCCACCCAGCGGTGACAGCCCAGCTGGGCCCACGCCACCTCACCCATGGGGAACAGCAAGAGCGGGGCCCTGTCCAAGGAGATCCTGGAGGAGCTGCAGCTGAACACCAAGTTCACGGAGCAGGAGCTGAGCACCTGGTACCAGTCCTTCCTGAAGGAGTGCCCCAGCGGCCGCATCACCCGGCAGGAGTTCCAGACCATCTACTCCAAGTTCTTCCCCGAGGCCGACCCCAAGGCCTACGCCCAGCATGTGTTTCGCAGCTTCGATGCCAACAGCGATGGCACCTTGGACTTCAAGGAGTACGTCATCGCCCTGCACATGACCAGCGCGGGCAAGACCAACCAGAAGCTGGAGTGGGCCTTCTCCCTCTACGACGTGGATGGCAACGGGACCATCAGCAAGAACGAGGTGCTGGAGATTGTCTCGGTCAGTGTCAGCCTCCTCATCTCCAGCTGAGAGGGACGGGGGTCTCGAGGAATCGGGCTGCCACTAATTCCTCATGGGGGCCTGTGGGAGGAGGAAGTGGACACCCGAGGTTGCTGACTCAGTGGTTCTGAGAATGTGGTCAGGAGGGGTCTCCAACAAACCGATGTTAACGGAGGGCTGGACAGTATTCTTGCCTGGAGAATCCCCATAGACAGAGGAGCCTGGCCGGCGACAGTCCATGGGGTTGCAAAGAGTCAGACACGACTCAGCGACTAAGCACAGCACAGGGCACCTTCCCACAGCTTCATTTTCCTCCTAGAGAAGAAGGATCTGGGTATTTTCCATTATTTACCTTTACTGTTTCCTTCTTTCCCTCCCATCTTCCATCCTTTCTTCATTAAAGCGTTCTTCAGGGACTTCCCTGGTAGTCCAGTGGTTCCAATGTGAGGGTGGTCTATGCTTCCAATGTGAGGGGTGCATTTTCCATCCCTGGTCAGGGAAATAAGATCCCACCTGCTGTGCAGTGCAGTTAAGAAAATATAAATAAATAAGTAGGTGTTAAAAAAAATAAAACCTCCCTCAAAACCTCCAATAGGACACACTCGGATTTTTTTTTTAATTGTTTATTTGGCTGCTGGGGGGTTTCTTAGTTGAGGCACATGAGGTCTAGTTCCCTGACCAGAGGTGGAACACCAACCCCACCCCCAGCATTGGGAGCCCAAAAATCTTAGCCACTGGACCACCAGGGAAGTCCCTTTCATAAAATCTTATGGACAAACCCTAACGAACTTTGTGGCCAACCCAATGTATTTATGTATTTATTTTATTTTTATTTTGGTCCTGTGGTTTTTGGGATCTTACTCTCCCAAACAGGGACTGAACCAGGGGCCATAGACACTGCGGTGAAAGCCCCAAGTTCTAACCACTGGAAAGCCAAGGAAGTCCCTTGTGAGTCATTTTAGAGACATAACATGTTTCAAATATGTTAGCCCAGGATCAGATCACCTGCCAAGATTTTTAGGTGTTTGAAAAGTAGTTTTATTTAATATAAAATGCATGCAGTTTAGAAACCTATGCAAAAGAAAATGAAAATTGCCTTTAATTTCATCCAGAGAAAACTACTATCAACAAATGGGCATGTATCTTTCCAGTCTTTTATCTATATATTTAAAAATAACTTTAGAATTAAGACATATCCACATACGGCTTTATCATACTTTTCTTCAACCACTATTTTATTATGAATATTTTCAATATCAAATTGTTTTTAACAGCTGCTTAGAATTCCATCTTATAGACATGTCATAAAATTATTTAACCATTCCTATATTTTTGGACAATGAAGATGCTTCTATTTTTTCCCTATTATATCATTTTTGTTTCCCTTCATTTAGTATCATTTTACTGAATTTTTTTTGCCCCCCATCCCCACCCCATACCACTTGCTTTCTCTAATCCCATTCCTGTAAAGAGAGAATATTTTTCATCTTTTATATAATTTTTGAGGCATTTGTAATCCCGCTTTCATTCACCCAATTCTTCCACCCTTGTTAGGCAAAACCATAGATCAAACAGCCAAGGACGCAGCTGTGGTCAGCCACTCCTTCTTGGACCTAACGTTACTGGCAGGTGTGTGTAGAAACCTCGCTGGTCTCTGGGTGGGGCTTGCAGAGCAAGCTCCCTGGATTAACAGGCGGCCTGCAGCAGGGACCACCTCCTCAGAACCACCTAAAGGATGCCAGGCCCAGCAGAGGCCTCTGAGTTGGTGCTTCTTCAGAGAAAGGAGGAAGAAGGAGATGAAGGGGTGGGGGGAAGGGAAGGAGGAAGGAAAGGGTGGGGAGGCATGGGGAGGCAGAGAGAGACGGGCACGTCCACAGGTGAGGCTGTGCAAGAGCATGCCAAGCCTCTGCTATTCACCATGTCCAAGGTCACTGGCCTGGGAGTCAGCCATCTGTTATGGTTCTGACGCACCACCACCAGGCTGCAGCGCCTCCAGAAAACCACAGAAGCTCCCACCCCCCAGGGTGGGGATGTAATGGTTCTTTCTTGGTCCATTTCCAGAGGCCCTGACAGTGTGCCTTTGGTTTTAGAAGCAGGGTGATGGGCAGCCAGTCACTCCCAGCCTTTAGCCTTCTGGGCCTGCCCATAGGTCCCTGGCTCAGGAACTTAAGGGAGCCCTCACTTCAGTGCCGGGTACCTCGGGGCTCTGAGCGCTGTCAGTGAGGCAGCTGCCCCAGCTGCGGGTTTTGACTTCCTTGCTTCTCTTGCTGCAGCACAGGGAGCTGAAAGGGAGTTTCTAAAGCCACTGCTCTTCCCTCCAGGTAAATTTCATAGGCATTACTGCCCCTGCCCGGCTGGTTCCCCGGTGTCTCCACGGCATCCCAGTCCCAACACTTAGGTCGCAAGCCGGGACGCTCAAGATAGGGGAGCCATAACCTGAGCATCCACTCTGGGTCTGGCCAGCCTGCTGGAATCCTAGTAACCTGGAGCTGAAAGGGCACATCAAGACTACACTGTCCCTTTCCCTGATCACATGTCAGAAGGCACTTCCTGCTTTGCTGGACATTGTCTACTCAGCTCCTGTATTAGGTAGAAGAGAGGAAAGTGAGAAGGACCCTTGAGCTTTACCCTCCCTAAGCAGAGGGTAAAGGAGGGGCTTCCAGAGGCCTTACCCAGCCCCTACCATGCTCCCCAAGACATTCCAGGAATAGCATGAGATGCAAGCACAGGGGTTCTAGAACCAAACTTGCCAGGGTTAGAATCTCCAGTCTTCTGCTTTTGGTTGGCTGAATTCTAGCAAGTTAGCTGATTCAGTTTCTCCATCTGTGAAATGGGCCAGTAACACCTACCTCATAAAGCTGTCATGAGTTTACATGGAAAGACACTTAGAAATGTGGCACGTGTTAATCACTTAACAAACATTAGCCCTTATTACCGTAAGCAATCCATGTGGCGCTACTGTTGAAGTACCCACCTGCCAATGCAGCAGATGTAAGAGACACAGGTTCGAGCCCTGGATGGGGACCATTCCCTGGAGGAGGGCATGGCAACCCACTCCAGTATTCTTGTCTGGAGAATCCCACGGACAGAGGAGCCTGGCAGGCTATAGTTAATGGGGTCACAAAGAGTTGGACACAACTGAAGTGACTTAGCACACACGTACCATGAGCCAGCCTGCTAGGCAACCAAAATATCACTTGGATTCAGAAAAAGCCATCTGATGTTCTAAAACTTCTGGGCAGTGAGGTTAAAGGTACCAGTTTTCAAAATGCGGCCTTCAGGAAGCTTTTTATTTCTTATTTTCATTTTTTAATACAATGAAAGTAATATGTCTGCATGGTCAGGAAATTCAGACTGTGCGGAAAGGGACAAAATAAGAAGGGAAAGTCATCCTCACCCCTCCTCTGCATTCCCTTCCCCTTCTTAAAAGTACAGATGCCCTGTCCCTACTCTCAGGAGCTAGGATTCAGTTAGGGCTGGTGGGTTGGGGGGGCCTGGGCATCTACATTTTAACCTCGGCATCTTGCTCAGCCATGTGGGTTCCCCCAGAATCACTTCTTCTGACCGGTGCTCCCCCTCAATTCGGTGCAGGCTATCTTCAAAATGATCAGTCCTGAAGATGCAAAGTGTCTCCCAGAAGACGAGAACACCCCGGAGAAGCGAGCAGAGAAGATCTGGGGGTTCTTTGGCAAGAAGGATGATGGTGAGTGACTTCTCCTTCCCAGCCCTTGATTTCACAGTCCTGGGCTATGTCCTAGAGACCCCAATGAGATTGATTCTTCCCAGTCCAGAGACCAGGTGGGACGGAGGAGCCCTCCTCCCACCGCAAGGTGGTCATTAGAAGAACAGTCAGCCGACAGTTGTGGGCCCCTCTGGAGCTGACTGAAAATGTCACCACCTCCCACCGCTCATAATCTCCATCACTGCCTGAGATTCTCTGGGGGCGAAGGCAGGCTCTAAATGATGGGGTACTTTGGTTTTGTTTGGACAGAGTTAACCCACTTTGAAGAAAGAATAAAAAATCAAGGCAACAGCCTGTCATTTTGTATACAAATGACAAGTTTTGAGGCTTTGCAAGCATACCGCTTTCTTTTTGAATGGAGTGCCCAGTTTTTTGTTGTTGTTTTAGGACACTTTGGTTTACTTGTTAAAACCAAACAAGTAGCCTTCTGCACGACTGGGATGGGGTAAAGCTCACTCCAGAACTAGCATGGCGTCCCAAGTAAGCAGGATCTCAATTTATATGGTGTTACTTTAGGAAATTAGTTTGAGTCCCCTCTCCCAACCCCCAAGCTCCATCAGATGGAATTAGACTTCAATTCAATTTCAAGAGATTGATGGGGGTGGGGGGGTTGCTATGAGGGGAAATGAGGAGAGATTTTCAGGAGGCTGGGAAAGCCATCAGACTGCCAAGCAGATGAACGGCTTAAGGGCAGATGCAAGAAAAGTCTTAAACTGCAGGGCTGGGCTAAGAAAGTCTTGGTGAAGCTGAGGGTGTGTCCTCGGGCCGCCTTCTGCCAGGAGCTCACCTGTCTTGGCTCCCTCCCCTGTTCAATCTGGCCAAGAGCAGCCAGTGGGGAGCGCGAGCTTGTACTGAAAGTGGTGATGGATTCCAGAACTGGGCGGTGGGGGCTGCTGGTGCCTGAGGCCCACGTCCAACTCGGGAAGGACACAGGAGAGGGGCTGATGTCAGACGGGGACTGCAAACTTGAATGACTGCTGGGGCCAGGATGATGAATGTGAGAGAAGTGGACAGTGGCCCAATGAAGCAATAGGGACTGGCAAACAGTGGGGCATGAGGGTCTGCCTGGTTTTATGGCCTCTGGTCAATTGTTACCACATAGGAATACAGAGCTGTTGGGGCCTCATCATCTGTTTTTTGTTTTTGTTGTTTTTTTAAGAGAAGCTAGCAATCGAGATTTTTAAAATCTGAAATGCCTCCCCTGATGAAACACTACATGGTCCACACACATCTGAGGAGCTGGTATCGGCCCATTTGTGATCTCTGGGCCAGTCTCTTACCACGCTTCCAGGTCACACGCCCAAGCAGGATGTTAAAGAAGGCCCCTACTAATCTGCAGTCCAGGGAGAAGGTAGATTAGCAACCAGATCTGTGATATTAGGGTCAGAATTAGGGTGAGGCATGTGAGATGCCCTGGCACAAGATTTAAGGAGACCCCCTTCTCAGGTGCCAGCCCTGTGCCCATACAATGCTGAAAGTGAGAGCCTCCTTAAATGTTGAAGGGTAGGTACCTCCCTTTCCTCACCCAGACGTCACCTCCCCGTGGCACATCACCCCTCTGGCTCTTTAACCCCCATCCTGACATCCTGCTGGGTCTGCCAGGTGCTGAGTCCCTTGTTCTGCTACTTGCTGACCTGAACACTGACCCCAGTGAATGTCCCAGGAGGCAGTGGTATTCCTGCCAGGTGACTTGTGTTTTCACATGGTCCATCTGAAGACCAGGCTTCACTCCACAATCAGCTTCTGACAGTAGGAGTTTCAAGCTATGAGGCTCATAGGGCGCCTGGGACCTTAAAACCCGCATTTCATCACCCTGACCTGCACAAGGAACCTACGTCCTAATCCAGGAAGGATTAAGGTCACCCAAAAGGCCTGGAACATAAAAAGCCAATGGAAACCCAGTTCAGCTAAGCCAAGCTTTATTGAGCACTTGGTACATCAGGACTATGAGTCTCGCCATAAGCAGGGAGGAACATCTGCCTCATTCTAGAGTCATTTCTGGGCTTCCCTGCTGGCTCAGACAGTAAAGAATCCGCCTGCAATGCAGGAGACCTGGGTTTGATTCCTGGGTTGGGAAGCTCCCCTGGAGGAGGGCTTGGCAACTCACTCCAGTATTCTTGTCTGGAGAGTCCCCATGGACAGAGGAGCCTGGCGGGCTACAGTCCACGGAGTTGCAAAAAGTCAGACACAACTGAGCAACTAAGCAAGCACAGCACAGAATCATTTCTACAGGTGACTGTCTCCCCATCAGACCAAGTTTCCCAGGCCAGGGGCATTATCTCACTCCCTTCCTTGCCACACCCTGCCCTCTGCCCCCTGCAATGACCTCAGCCCCACATACAGTGACTCTGGCACAGAGGAAGGGCTTAGTGAGTGCATCTAACTGGAGAGAACTGAATTCAATAGTTGGGGCAAAACCCTTTCTTGTCCCAAATGGGGAGGTAGATTAGGGACGCAGAGATGCCTAAGAAAGGATTACCAACCAATCAGAAGAGGCACAGCACTAGCCCAGCCTCCTGGAGACCCTGCAGGGCCTGTCTTTAACCCTCTCATTGCAGGTTCACCAGGAGGTCCAGGGGTCCTAGGAAAGAGTTGGAGGGTGGGGTTACTCTCAGGGGCAAGGAGATCAGTATTTTCATAATAGAGCCATCCTTTCTGGGTATGCTGAGCAGCTTCATCGCAGCTGGAAACAGCCTATCCTGACTGTATTATTTTTTCCTCTTACAGATAAACTTACAGAGAAAGACTTCATCGAAGGGACCCTGGCCAATAAGGAAATTCTACGACTGATTCAATTCGAGCCTCAAAAAGTGAAGGAGAAACTGAAGGAAAAGAAACCCTGATGTCAACCGCTCAGGTCTCCTCCCTGCCCACCCCTCTCAAATAAACACGCGTGTGCACGCACACACACAAACACAAACACACACCGCCCCCGGGGCCTGGAGGGCCTCCAACTCACAGCACATTAAACCCTCCTGCACACCTCCCGGCCAAACCAAAGTGTCGTTAAATAAGTCACCAAGTCCCGCCCACTACACTGCCCGCCTCCCCTCCCCTCAGCCCGCCAGCCCAGGCCTCCGTAATATTTCCAGGATTAGGTCACAGGAGCCCTAAATATAGGTCACTGGAGCCCTAAATACCCCCCGCCCCCATGTAAGCTCCTTTGTGAATTGTTAGGTAAGCAGGTTCCAATAAATGCAAGAGGAGCCGGGCACTCAGCTGACTGGTCATTCTCCAACTGGAAAAGGAAGTGATTTCTGTTGGTTTTCAGCCTCACGGACAAGGCTGTGTCGCCGTCCCAGTCACAGACCAGGGTGAGGGGACTGTGGTGCTGGAGGAAAGAGACGCGGCCCTGTTCTGGTACAGCTCAGGGTGCAGAGGGGACCATAGACCTTGAAGAAGCCGGCGTGGGTGGCGAGGTTACCATGGAGACACGCAAAGCATTGTGGGAAGGTACAGTGGGCGGGGCCGACTTGTCCAGAGATTGGGAAGGTGTTCCCGATGAAGAGGCGTTTCAACCAAGACCCAGGGGATTGGAGTGGGGAAAAAGTGAGGGTGGAAAAGTGATGTGTCTCAGAGACCCTGAGTCGGGATTGAGCAGTTCAAGTTATAGGACCCTGAGAAGGCCAGTGTAGCCCGAGAGCCGAGGGGGGAGGAGGGGAGAGCAAACTGTGAGTTAAGCTTCCAAAGTAGGCGGGGCGGGGGTGGGGGGCGGAGCAGACCTTGCGAGGCCTTCCCTGCAGGCCAGGGTAAGACCCAGGGTTCACCCAGGGATAGTGGGGGCTGTGTGGGGCTGGAAGTAGGAGGGATTTATGTTTGTAAGAGAACTTCCCCCCCACCCCCCGCAGGGTAGAAATAAATTAGGCAAGACTGGGGCCTGGACATCAAACTCCTATAATCGCCCAGGTGGCCTGGGCCAGGGGAACAGAAGTGGGGTGGAGAGAACGTGACCTGCTCGGAGATATTTAGAAGGTAGGATCCACCTGACTAGTTCAGGGGAAGGAGGAGCAAGGATGGTCAGTAGCCAGCCTTGCGGCTTGGGTGCCCAGTGTAATCCATTGTGTAATCACACAAGGTTGCCTCAATGATTTTCACCTGGTTTGCATTGGCGATGTCAATAGATTTCACTGGTGACAGCCACCAAGGTGGGGATTAGCAGGGAGAGATGCTGGTTTCAGGGGAGGATGACAAGTTCAGTTCTGATCCACTGCAAGGTGAAGACAGATATCCCCAGAGCCCCTACTTTTTAGGGGCAAGTAAAAGGAGCCACAGAGTCAGCAAGTGGCTTGGCTAACTAGGGTCAGCTAATGAGTGGAAGCGAGCCCAGCGCTGTCCATTGGCCCATACTCCCTTATCAGAGCTCCATCGGCGGGTTCTCAAGATCATTGTGCTCATTGTTTTGAAAGCTCTTTTATTCTTCAGCCTTAAATTCCAAGGCGAGGTCAGAAATATATGTAGATGTCCTGGACACTTGAGCAACCTGTGAACAACCCTCTGGGGCTAGGGAGTCTCCATCTGCTGGTGTGGGGGGATCACCCCCGCTTTAGCAACAGCAAAGGCTCAATCACCGCCACCAGAAAGTGCTGCTCTTTGTGGAGGATGGCCTTGAGAATCATCATAATACTTAAGGATGCAGTGTTTCCTATGAGCCAGGCATTCTGCTGGATACTGGGCATTATTTCATTGATGGAGGTGTAATTATTAATATCCCCAGAGTATGGATGAGGACACTGAGGCCACAAAGTAAGAGTAGGGTTAGTACTCGAACCAGAGGCCCTTTGATGACACCAGAATGCCTCAAATTTTGACCTGGACCTGATAGGACCTGATAGGATCTGATAGGACCTGATAGGACAGAGAATTCTGGGATCGCACAGCATCAGAGCATCTAGTCCAGCAGCTTTGGCAGGAGGAGAGAAGCTAGCTGCCCAAGATGCCCCTCTAGCATCAGACATAGAGGCCACCCAGGAGCCACCTCAGAGAGAGAAGGCCCAGGGTGGCCTAGGGGAAGAAGCAAAGGGCTCAAGGCCTCACTCCAGTGCTCTTTCCCAAGCTGTGTGTTGGGCTCCTGCTGTGCCTCCTGGGCTCACTAGCCATCAGTATTTCTAGAATTGCAATGTTCCAGTAATTGCAAAGCCAGAATAGAGACCCACTAGGTGGGATTTTTTTTTTTTTTTTTTTTTTNATTTTTTGTTTTTTTTTTAGGCTGTGCTGGGTCTTCATGGCAGTGCACAGGCTTTCTCTAGTTGCAGCAAGCAGGGGCTACTCTTCATTGCTGGAGAGGGCATCTCACTGTAGTGGCTTCTCTTGTTGTGGAGCACAGGCTCTATGGTACCCACAGTAGTTGTGGTGCCCGGGCCTAGTTTCCCCTCTGCATGTGGAATCTTCTAGGCCCAGGGATCAAACCCGTGTCCCCTGCACTGGCAGGGGAATTCTTCACTGGACCACTTTAAAACAACAGCAAAGTGAATGATCTAGGGAGCAGTCTAGAAGAAGGCAGACACCTGCCTTCTACTGTTTTGACATCTGACCTCTACTTCTCTCCCCTACCCCTCTGTCCACTCCTCTTGGTCCCTGATACAATGGACCACCCAGGCTTATTATTCCCACGCTTATTACCGCAGTTCTTTTTCCCATTTCTGGCGAGGAACAGTGCACCAGGTTCTCCAGGGGTGGAAACCTTAGCTCCAGTGAGAAATCAATGGAAAAGAATAGACAAAACACCTATCAAATTTAAAAACTTATTTTAATCATTAGCAGAATAGCGAGCAGTCTGATGTGTGTGGCACCCCATTTGTGGAGTGAGTAGGGATGACTTAATTACAAACACTTTTAAAAAGTCCCTTTTATAAATGGCCGGGCCCTGAATAACTGATTCTCAATAGCATCCAATGCTCCTGAGACATTTCTTTGTTTCCTCTGATGGATGTGTTCTGAACCTGTTCTCAACCAGCTATGCTGGGAACCAGCTAGGAATTCACACAGCCCAACTTTCTAGGTGCTAATAAGCCAGTGAGAAACAGAAGAGACTTTTACAGAATGAAAACACTAGGGCATATATCTTAATGATTGAATTGTGGATAATCTGGACACAAAAAAAGAAACCTTTGCTTTGTTATGTACTTGCCTAAGTTCATTGCTTCAGTTTCCCCTTGTGCAGAGCAGAGCCAGGACTGGGGGGAGGGGAAGATGGGCACTTCAGGTGCAAAATTTAAGGTGGGTGACCAAAAGCTCAGTAATCAACATAAATAATACTTTGATGTAATCATTTTAAAATAAAAATTAATGTTAAAATGTCCATTATGAGCAAAATATTTTTTTAAAAATTTCTTTCTGGCTGCTTTCTGCATCATGCAGGATCTTAGTTCCCCAACCAGGATAGAACCCACATGCCCTGCAGTGGAAGCATGGAGTCTTAACCACTGGACCACCAGGGAAGTTCCTCAAAAATTTTTAAAGTCAGGACCAGACCCTGCATTTATATCTCATGGTCCCATGTACTCCACCCTCATCCTGGCCTGGTTCCAATAAAATATCCTTTTTATGAATGGGCCATGGGCTGTAGCTCACAGAATTGTTGTTGCTTTTTTATCACATTAAAATAGTACTTGACGATTGTGGAGTTTTGTTTTTATTTTTAGTACTCTCTTCCATTTTGCACCTGAACTGAGTTCCTCACTTGCCTCACCCTGGTCCTGTCCTGCTGCCAAGTGTCCTTGACCATGGAGTTGCCAGGTGACATACCAGATGTGCAATTAGACTTGAATTTCATGTAAAATATATCCCATGGGATATACTTAGATAATACTATTATTCATTGATCCAAAATTCAAATTTAATTGAGGATTGTGTATTTTTAATTGCTGAATCTGGCAACCATACTTGATAAGCATCATACCTCCCTTCCCCCTAAAATAAGGCAGGATTTGGCTCAACAGCAATACATCCTGCCCACCCACTCACGTACAGTTCACATATTATAAAAGCTACATTTCTAAACACCGACACCATATGCTCTATGTTTCCATAGAGCATTCCTCCTTTGACCTTCCTCAGCTTCTCGTCTTACAGTTTCAGTCACTGAACTTGTCCCTAAGCCTGGGCCCTCCTCTGCCTCCAGAAACATCCTCCACTCAGGGCCTGCAGCACAACTCATTCTCTGTCAGCATACTGGGCTCCCTAGCCGTTGCCCCCTCAGCACCCCCCTTGACATGTCCAGATCACCCACAGTCCTCTCGTTTCAGCTGGGTACCCTCCAGCTCTTAGCATAATTTCCATAGGAGGAGTAGAATTCTTATCAGTGGAGACTTGGGCCAGGGAGAGCAGTGGGTAAACCCCCCAGGGAAGCAGGTACAGCCATTGATGGCAAACCAAACATGTCAGGGAACAATAGACAAGTGAGGCTTGAAGAAATCAAACTCAGAAAGGCAGGTGGAGCCAGAAAGGTGAGAAAACCACCAATGGCAACTTTGAGAGGGGCCCTGGGAGCTGGGGCCAACACTCCAAGGAAGGATGGGCTTGTCTCGGGTCAAACAGAACTTCCATGGAGTGGGATCCGCACTGTCAGAGGAGGAGGGCAGGCAGGTCACAGCCTAACCGCTGAATGCAGAATGCTGCAGGCCTCACTGGACCAGTGGCCAGCTCAGAGGGCTTCTAGTTCCAGTGCATCCTGCCCTGGATTTTCAAAATGTAGGCTTGCAGCAGAATTACTTGAGCTGCTTGTTATACAAATCCCATCGGCCACATAAGTGCTCAAGCGCATCTCTCAGTATCTTTGCCATGAATGAGTCAGACTCTGCCTGTGAAACACTTGGCAGGTGGTCCTGGGACACCCTGCTCCTGACTTCAGGTGGACACCTGGTGCCACGAAGGGGAAAGGAAGGGGAGCGCTGGCCTCTGTTTCCGAGCAGACATCTCTCTGAGTCCTCAGGCTCCGGGCACTCGAATTTGGGGCCAGCCTGGGGGGCTGGTGGTCATTCCGGAAAACACACCTGTGGGGGTGATGAGGATGACAAGGGCAGGCAGAAGTGGTGAAGGTATGCAGCCTCTGTCTACGGAGCATGGAAAGCCTGGAAAGAGTCGTGGCATCGGGAGAGAGCAGGGTGTGCTGGAAGGATGCTCAGCCTGCATCATCCAGCTTGGCTGCCGCCTCCCTCAAGTGCTCAGGAGTCCCTGGGAACCGGTGCAGTGGGCTCCTGCCTAGATCTCACTCTC